CATAGTATGAGCGCACAGTGAGTGTGCAGTGACCTCACGTTGTGACCACAGTATGAGCGCACAGTGAGTGTGCAGTGACCTCACATTGGGAGCATAGTATGAGCACGCAGTGAGTGCGCTGTGTGGTTACACTTTTAGCTCACTGTGACACACACATTGTGACCACACCATGAGAATCGTGTGAGCTCATGGTGACATCATTGTGAGATCAAATTGTTGACTGGGATGCTATTTCAATTTGTAAAATGTCATGTAGAGTGACTTTTCAAAATCATAATGTTTATGGATAAATAGTTCATGATATTTGTAACAAGAAATTATACTTTCACATTGAAAATAATTAAAATGTGTACAGTACATACAAATGTTGGACTAAGTATGTTATTTCTTTTTAATTGAGGGTTATGCTACATGACATTTTTAGAGACATTAAATTGATCCCCCATCCCCTTTTCTGTATTGTAGACATTGCTGTAAGTCAGTGATCCATGATTCTGAATACAGTGTAGGTACAAAGCATGAGCGTAGAACACATCTTCTCTCTCTGTTTGCTTTTTTTTTTCTAAGTAAGTTTAATAAATGAAGGAGACACCCATAACTGGCTGAAGATACACATGCTCGAATGCATGCCCATGAATATATTTACACTCCATTTGCTGTACCCACTTGATGATTAGACTCGCAGCCTGAAACTAATGTCTTATGAAAATATGCCGCACACACTTCTGCCATATTTCCGATCTAATTTGAACTCAGTGGAAACTGTCCTTTTTAATCATGACTGAGATCCGGAAGGCCATCAATAAAACTCAATACACGCCAGAGAGCAAGCTCAGTGTTTACACTGTAAACCCCAGGAAACTTACCTCGCTGGCTCTGTTCTACCTGTCATGCGGAAGCCATGTCCATTCCTATTCTTTCCCCACCCAGTATCAGCCAAGAGAATGATGAGTACGGCCGTTTCTGCTCCCATCAGTGCAGCATTATCTTAAATCATCAGCAATTTCTCCCTCGTCCTGTCCTGATCTCAGTCTTGACCTGCAGCATCTCCTCTGCAGTCCCCCCAAGCCCGGCTCCCAGTCGGCCCATGGCCAGCCGTTTATTTCATAGCTGTGTGCTCATGCTCTTATCGGGCCAAGAAAGAAACTGTATTTGGAGTTATCTGATGGGCCTTCACGGGGGTGCCAGGCACACAGCAGTCACAGTTGGTTACACGCCGATTCCCCACATGAAGTCGTGCTTTGGAGATAATGAAATTCACTCCTAAGGATAAAGTTGGTGAGGAAAAAGACTGGGCAATTACTCAGACCTGTTATTTTGTTACATATAGGCCGGAGGGATAATGGCGTCCACCCCTGTTCACACAGTTCAGCACCTACACGCTTTTAGCTCATGTAACTGAGAGAACAGGATGTATTGTTCTTGTTTGAAAGGCTGCAGGAAGTTTTTATTCTGTTTTTTTTTTTTCTTTTTTACCAAGCAGAATATATCCTTTTAAATTATATACGTTTACACTTCATTTTTTTTTTTTATCCTGCAGATTATCGTTCACTCTTTTACAGCACAAATACTTCCAGAGATCTATTAATAATCAGTAAAACCAGTTCAAATGACGCTGGCATTATCATTAAGGGAACAGATTGCAAATATGTTGGCATTAAGATTAAAGTCACACTGCAGATTGTTTTCCTATAAAGTTAGCTATGATGGCATTTACGGAAATGGTTGAACGGATGAGGCAAAAATGAAAAAAAAAAAAGTTACCTGTGTAAAGGAAACCCATTGTTTATGACCTTGGCTTTTATGCACTTTTTCCTGTTCTGAACATCTGATGACCAAATATATTTACATTGTCAGCTGCCCAATGTCTCAAACAAGTAAAGTTTCCTCTCTGTGGGGAATTTTTGGTATGAGTGTACTGGTTTATAATGAGGTATCAGAGTAAATGCTGAAAATACAGAATCGATTGCTGGAAAATGTGAAAATGGGCGCTGTCTAAAAGACGAAGTGAAAATACTACAAATTAGGCCGCATGTTTTATATTCTGGTGCTTTAAATCGGTAACAACTTAATAAAAAGAGAAAGAGAGAGATTCATATTCATACCTGGCACTTCAATTGAAACGTTACCAAATGGATGAGAAAAAAAAAATCTATCAAAAAAAGAGAAAAGGAAAATAAATTGACAGAATGAAGCTTCACTAACTCGATCAAATCAAAGAATAATTTATCATAAATCAAATGATGAAATTTCTATCCGCCATATGTCAGAGATGGAAAATGTCAGAGGAGTCAGGAATAGATTTGCAATAGCTTATACATTACTCTCTCAAGCCAGTGTCACTGCGAGGACTCCAGACAAGCTCCATTTTTATCCACAAACTCAGTTCATCTGACACCCTGAGCTGATAAAAATCCTATTTGTTTGCTTATTAAAAAGGCCGGTCTTTTGTTGTGTCCACTCTCATCAGCTTTGAATGTGCAAATGGTCTTCTGGTTCTGTCTGGCCTTGAGAATGAGAAATGCCTCGGAGCCTTGGGCACTAAGGTGCAATAATGTCTTTGATTTATACCGCTCTTATGTCAGCAGATTTAGAGCTGGAATATTGTATGACCCCCTGTCACTGCCAATACATACTGAGTAGAGGAGAGGGAGTGAACGTACTTTGATTTATTTATTTAGATTTTTTTCCCTACCCGCCTAATGTGTATTGAAAGTCATTTTGATTTAGAATGATAAAACGATGGAAAGCTTAAAGTTTAAGACAGCATCAGAAATAAACCATTTGTGGACATGAATGATTGAATGCGTCCGCAAATTCCTTGCTTTTCAAACACATCATATTTTACGCTTCTATGTTCATACATATTTAGTGCATTATTTGCATTGTTTGAAAAACGCAGTCTCAATCAATGACAAATTTAAGAATCAGAACTGTGGTGGCTGATAAATTCAATCCACGCCAGTGCGGTCTTATTGGTTGATTGTTTTCCAAAGCACATGGCTGTTTATCACATAGATAATTCGTTTTGATTAACTCCTCTGAATGCACATCAGTGTGCAGAAGTGCATCAAACATTGCATTCATCCCTTCGGGGAATAAACAGTTTATTTATCTGTTTATTTATTTATTTTTTTCCCTTTCATTTGAATAGGTAAAGGTGTTTGAGCTGGAAGGAAGGTAGCATCAGACTTTTGTATGCCCAGGGCATGTAAGCCTGGACAAGCCAGTGAATGGTGATGAATGCGAGTGTGGAAGACGTGTCTCGGGAAGAGACAGGAGAGAGGAATGCTGCAATGCAAATACAGAGCCTTAGGTGGTTTCACTTACTGCATCCACAGATGGTCTGGGAGTACATATCTCCCTTCGGAGAATGTCATCAGGTAGAGAGCGCTGTCAAAAGATCACGGGCTTCTCGCCGTCAGTGCCAAGTCTCTGACTTTCGTCCTGTAGTTTCTGGCTCAAACGTTGTGGCTTTTCAAAGGGAAATTGTATACATCTTGCACACCATGTTAATCTGAGGCAAACATGCATTAAGTCATTTATTAAAAACCAGACACGTGGATTACAATTCGGACGACTTTTTTTTTTTTTTGCATGGGTTTAATTCTTTAAACCCAGCATGTCTGTTGCTCTGCATGCATCTGTGGAATGATTGAAATTTCCTTTAAATGGATTGGCTGGCTTATCAGTAAGACACAGTTGTTTGGAGGACCCTTATCTTGACTTCTAACTTCACTATGATAAGTTATGTCCCAGCCCAGCGTGTATTAAGACGGTCTCGCTGTGCAGACGGTGCAGACAGCCAGCTGATCCCCCCAAGCTGCCCTAACAGATTGATACTGCTGAGAAAAGGGAGAAACCAGGTACCTGATATCAGCCACCCAACGGCCCCTCTGGCTGCTCTCCCTCAGATACTTTCTTTTACTTTGCGTCTTCCTGTCTTTGTCTTTCCTGTCTCTTTCACCACTGATTAGACTAAATATAGACCAATAAATAAACACCCCTCATGAACCTTAAAGAAATAGCTCATCTAAAAATAAAAGTTCTGTCATTATTTACTCACCCTCATATGCTCAAATATAGCTGAACATTGCTGAACACAAAAATAGAAATCTGAATAATTTCTTCATGGATTCCCCCCCCCCAAAAAAAAA